ATTTCAGAATCTGCACTCTATATTGGGCAGCCTCACTGCAATGTGAGCTTCAGCAATAACACCTATGTGGTGCTGTGGACAGGCTGGAATGAGTGTGGAACTCAAATACAAAACGTAAGTCACCTGTGCAGGTGAAGAAATACCCAGCTAATGTACTTGTCACTGTAGGGTGCAGTGGCAGAGACGGGATTCAGCCTATTATTTCAGAATCTGCACTCTATATTGGGCAGCCTCACTGCAATGTGAGCTTCAGCAATAACACCTATGTGGTGCTGTGGACAGGCTGGAATGAGTGTGGAACTCAAATACAAAACGTAAGTCACCTGTGCAGGTGAAGAAATACCCAGCTAATGTACTTGTCACTGTAGGGTGCAGTGGCAGAGACGGGATTCAGCCTATTGCTGTCAGGGTTTCCTGAAATGGTGAACAAAATTCAGTCCCTCTTCTGTAAAATAAAATCACCTTCCCTTGGAGCGAAAGCAGGAGGGAAGTAAAGATTGCATCCTCCCCACCGAAACCCTTGTTGCACCCCTGGAAATCAAACCCACATGGCTAGACTCCTGAACTCCAAAAGCCCCTAGTGTTGTTTCCCTCCCTAGGTTCTTCTGTTAACTTCTCACTGCCAGTATGCATAGTGACAACATATTTAAAATCTGGGTCTGCAGGAAACTAGTTTAATGTGATATATAAATGCATAAATAACCCAGACATGACTGTTCTGAGCGGTCTAGATCCAGCAGCTCTCAAACTATGGGAAGATGCAGGAACATGTGAAGGGTGGTGCGAGGTGTGTGCTTTTTAAAGAGCTCTGGCTGTCAATCCTGGGGAGCTGGGGCTCATGTGCAGACGGTCTGGTCTGCGTGCACCCAGGAGGGGTGGTTAAGAAAAGGGAGATAGCCAGAGCCCTGCCACCTGGTTTTGGACTGTCCTTTCCAACATCCCTCACCTGGGAGCAGTGGAGCTTCAACTATCAGGCCCATGGCAGTAGCAGCCGTGCAGAAGTAAGGACAGCAATCAGGCGCTAAATCTGCTGTGGAAAGTGATGACAGCTACCACTTTTCCCGTTGCCTCCCCTGCTTCTGCACTGTTGCACCAGTACTTCCAAGTCCTCTGTGAAAAGTGATATTGACGAATATAACTTTTCACATTGCCATTCTAGCTTCTGTGCAGCTGCTGGCACAGTGCTGCCTTCAGAGCTGAGTGGTAGGGTATGCACTGGGGTGGGAGGAGGTGTATATAACTGCAGACACAAAGCAGGGGGGCTGATCAAATACATTGAGAGCCACTGGGCACAGTGTGGAGTAAAAAGCTCTGGTCATATAAGTGGTATGGATGTTTTATGAACCATGGCCAACATGTACTAAGATGAAAATAGCAAATCAGTTTTCATTGGCTAGCCCCAGAATTATAAAGCCAATAGATCCTGCTCCTTTGATTTTCATCAGCTGTATACAGAATTTCTGAGGTACTGCTTAAAATTACCAGAGATGATCAACTAATGTGACTAAGCTGTTCTCAGAAACTTGAAGTATCTCTTGCTCCTTTTTCTGTTCCAGAATATGACCAACACTATAGTGAAAACAATTCTTCGGAATTACATCTCCTCTCAGGGCATTGTCCACCATTTGAAGATTGCCAGTCCAATCCATTGTGTGTTTCAGAATGATCTCTTGACTTCATCTGGATACACTCCAGAAGGGTAAATAACCCCATGTCCAAGTTCAAATATATGGCATGATGTGAAAAAAACAGACTCCCAGCTGTGTCCATTTCCTTGAGTGATGGTGGGCAAGTCATATTCCCCATCAGTTAAATAATTGCTGCTGGGGATTAACAAATGAATGATTGTCTGTACAGTGCTGTGTAATTGCTCTGCATTCTGATGAAGAAGATACAAAGTTATTTGATGACCTTTAAAAATATGTAATGCATACTTAGTTCTTGTGGAAGCTACCAGGTTAGCAGCACTGTAGAGTGAGATCCTCTTTATAGATTGGGCAGAACACAAGAAATGACAGCAGACTTCTTCACATTGTTCTGCCAGTGAGTCTCATTCCTTACTCAGAAGGACCACTTCTTTCTTTACACCAAATCCAGGCCATCCCCAAATGTTTTCACTTTCTTCCTATACAACTCCAAAATCCTACAACAAAACCTCTCGTCTGGACCTTGGTTATCTCTAAATCCCTTCGTTTTCAGTGTAAACAGATTTTTACTGAAAAATTCACAGGTTTTACAAAAAGTATTATTCCTTTTTCCCCCTGATTTTCACCATACTTTTGTACTATTCAGATATATAAATATAACTTCCACAGGACTGTTCATTGTTTTTTTTAAAGTTACAGACTAACACAGCTATCTTTCTGAGACATTAGTCTGTATTTATATTCAAAGTTATCTGTTGAACTAAGGCTATGGAACAGTCTAGAAGATGCACACAGTAAACAAAACAGATAAGCATGCAAACTCTGACGTGCATGTGCATCTGAACATACTGATGAACCTCGTGCCCACCACATGCACGTTTCAAGTTGTTTGATAACAGCTTAGAGATTTGAAACACTGAAATGGGAAGAAAATGAAAATCTGTATCAGAATGCTTTTCAGAATGCAAAGAAGTATTTGAAAGTGAAAAACCAAATCAGGAGAAAAGGATGAAGCTGTGTGTATGCACCGCAAATGGTGTGGCCCTCTTATTAAATGTAAACATTTACAAGCTAATAGTTCTGAGTCTACAACAGTAAATGGTTTATTCAAATGAAAAGTTTCATTTGAGGACTAGCGATACACTGTTTTCTTAAACAACAAGAAGTCCTGTGGCACCTTATAGACTAACAGTTTTATTGGAGCATAACCTTTTTGTGGGCAAAGGCCCACTTCGTCAGATGCATCTGACGAAGTGGGCCTTTGCCCACAAAAAGGTTATGCTCCAATAAATCTGTTAGATTACATCTACACTACGCTGTTTTGCACAAGAAATATGCAAATGAGGCAAAGCGTGGACCATCACTGCGCCTCATTTGCATAATTAATGAGTAGCCGCTTTTTGCGCAAGAGGTTTTTGCGCAAGAGCTGTTCTTCTGCATTTTTTTCAGGAAGAATGGCTCTTGCACAAGAGAGAGGTTTTTTGCAAAAAGGAGCCATGTAGATCGCTCCTTTTTGCACAAAAGCCTCTTGCGTAAAAAGCGGCCGCGCATTAATTATCCAAATGAGGCACGGCGATAATCCATGCTTCACCTCATTTGCATATTTCTTGCGCAAAACAGCGCAGTGTAGACATAGCCCACATCTATAAGGTGCCACAGGACTTCTTGTTTATGCAGATTCAGACTAACACAGCTACCCCTCTGATACTGTTTTCTTAAACTCAGAGGCAGCACTGTGTTTTGAGTTCTATTTAAATTCTGCAGCAAACCACACTAATGAATGGAATTTATAGCTTTAATCTAATGCTTTTCCTCCCTGTCCTTCCATCCATCAAAATAAACCCCAATAGTTACCCAGAAAATTATTAATAGTTTTTTGCACTGATTTTCACCTGTTTTTGTTGTGATGGTAACAAACACTGATACATTCCTGGGGTAAAATTAAAGAAAACAACCACTGAAAACAAAGGATCCTAGTCGTATTTTGCCTTCATTACTTCAACTGCTTCCATGATTGACCCCTCACTCTCACGCCATGTGCATCAAAAGTAGTCTTCCTCATTTACTGTTCTGACCACATCATTCCCTCTTCAGGTCCCGTCACTGGTTTCCTTTTGTCTTCTGCATCAAGCGTAAGATTCTTGTTCTGACCTTGGGCAATGCACTCTTGTTCTCATTCAAATGCACTGCTGTCATCACTACCTCCACCCAGCATGCTGTCTTCTCACACTGGCAATAGCTTCTAACTTTGTGGCCTCCAAGTCTTCTTCCACATGACTCCATACAGCTGGACTTCAGCAAGCAATCACCCTCTCCTCTTGAAATCCTAATGATGGGCTGGACTGCGGATTTTCCGTCACTGCAAAAGTGCACATGAGTTAGAGAAATAGGAATCATATTTGTGAAAATCTGGCACAGTGATCTTTAAAAGCAGCTTATTGTCTTTTCAGGATTTATGCCATTTTTGAGGATTTGCATGGATCTGGATATTTCATAACAGAGATGCAACTGTTCGTTGGAAACTCTTCAGTCCCCCAAAACTTCAGTGTCTCTGCCGATGATGATGTATTGATTGAGGTGGGAATTCAGAAAGAGGACAGCAAGCTCAAGGTGGTCCTCACGGAGTGCTGGGCAACTCCAACTAGTAATTCAGTGGATCCCCTGTCATTTGCCTTTATTAACAACAGGTACAGCACACCCTCCTTAGATGTGACACATGCATGTGCAAATGGTCTAGCAATGCTGTCCCTGATCTTGAGGAGCCTTTCTATGACCTAAGGTGGCTACTGACACCCTATCTTTCTAATGGACTTGACATGCCCTCAGTGAGTCCTTGTTCTCTTCAAAGCCAAATACCTAACTTCAGACATTTTCAAAGAGAGTGTGGAGAGCTGTTGCCTCCCCCTAATACTTGTAAAGGAGATGCCCAATATAGGTCTACTCTTTGGTCTCTGATTGGTTGTGGATCCATAGATGGCTTTGGTAGTCAATGGTGCAAGTGCTTTTAAAAAAAACAACCACAAAAAAACTATGATGCAGCCATTTGTTTCTGATACAGCCATTACCAAAGGTATGCATGTCTTTAAGGGCTCAAAGTTTAGATCACTGCTGTATGCTCAAAGGACACTCAGTACCTTCATATGAAGCAGAGTCTGGTGGCATGTAGTAGACTACTAGGACATAAGTTGAAGAAAGGTGTTGAACAAGTGATTCAGAGGGCCTCACCTGGCTTGCAGAATCTATGTTTCTGGTGATGTGCTTGAGGGAGAAGGAAGAGAGCTTTGTCTGACACTCTGGGTATGTCTTCAGGGGGATAAAAATCCTGCGGCACAGAGTCTCAGAGCCTAACTCACTTGATTTGGCTTTGTGAGGCTCAGTCTGCAGTGCTAAAAAAAAGAAGACCTTTGGGTTGGGTCCCAGGCTCTGAGGCGCTCCTATCTCCTGGACTTTCAGCACTTAGACTCCAGGCCATGCCCATATATGAAGGCTGTGTCTACACTGGGCCACTTATTCCGGAAAATCAGCTGCTTTTCCGGAATAAGCTGCGAGCTGACTACACTGGCCCTTGAATTTCCAGAAAAGCAACGATGCTCTACTGTACAAAATCAGCCGCTATTCCGGAAAAACTATTCTGCTCCCGCTCAGGCATAAGTCCTTATTCTGGAACACTGTTCCAGAAAAGGGCCAGTGTAGACAGCCCAGTAGTCTTTTCTGGAAAAAAGCCCGGATCGCGAAAATGGCGATCGGGGCTCTTTTCCGGAAAAGCACGTCTACATTGGCTACAGACGCTTTTCCGGAAAAAGGGCTTTTCCGGAAAAGCAGCCTGCCAATGTAGACGCTCCTTTTCCGGAAAAACTGAAAATGGAATAGTATTCTGTTTTAAGCAGTTCCAGAAATTCATGCCAGTGTAGACACAGCCCTACATTGCCATTTTTATCCCTGCAGCCTACATCCTGTGAGCCCAGCAGCTGACTTGGGCCAGCCTTGGCCATGCCATGGGTCATTCATTGCAGTGTAGATGTACTCCTAAAGTCAGGTTCATTTTGGAGGGATGGCAGTCTGAGTGAAAGAATTTAACAGACA